AAAAAAAAAAAAAAAAAAAAAAAAAAAAAAAAAAAACAAGCCCACGAAACAAAAGATCACCTGCGAGAAAGGACTCAAATTCACGAGAATAAGACCCAATCCTTCTCCACTCTCTCTCTCTCTCTCATTCTCTCCCTCAATCCCTCCTAACGACTCAACTCAATGCCTCCAAGTCCAATACAATAATCCCCTTCCCTCTGGATAAAATTAGACAAAATTTTAAGAAACCACTGTAAACTAGAAATTAACATAGACTTTAAAAAAGAAACCACTCTCCAAAATAAAATCATCAAGGAACAAACTTTTCAGTTCATAAACAAAAATGTTAAAAAATTAAACAAACTCCAATAAGGAGTGAAACAAGAGAAAAAATAAAAATACACTAAGAATGGAAATGGTAGGTTCATTCACAGTGACAATAAGTACACCTCTAGCGTAGAAGTCTTGGAATAACTCAACAGCGTCCTTGAGCATTATTGAAAAGAAAATTTTTCTTCCTTTCTGAAGGATTGTGGCCTTCAAATCTTTGAGATCAATTCCAGAGGTTGGGCTTTTGGCCTTCAGATGAATCTTTCGTTTTGCTCTTTGATTTTCAGTTATTGAATGAAGTTGCTGCCTCTTGTGGATTTCTTCAGAGTTGAGTTTCGCATTGATTGGGCTGTTTGGTTGTTTGTTTTATTCTTTGCCTTTGTGGTATCGTGAATTTATCCTTGGCTGTTGCTGCCTTTCTTCCTTTTCTGGTGTGTTGTTTCAAGCTGGTTTATGCGGTTTCTGTTCAAAGCTTCAGTGGTTTGAGGAGCTTCCCTTAAAAATTCAGCTTTTGTTTGAAAGCTCTCTAAGAGTTTTTGGTGCTTTTAGTCTTCTGTTTTGTAGTTTTTATTGTTAGATTGTTCTTTGGTTCTTTTATTTTGTTTGGTTTGTTTGGTTTCTTCTCAGGCTCTAGTAATCTTATTCTTTTCGTTTTTCCTTTTGCCCCCATTCGAGTGTTTGGAATTTTTTTCTTCCTTTTCGTAGATTACGAAAAGTTTGTCACTTTTTCAAAAAAAAAAAAAAAAACAATAAGAATATACTTCATACCATGCCTGAAATACTATATATTATTTTTGGCAAGGAAAAATACTATTATCACAAATACAAAATAATATAAATATATAAACAGTATAAACACACTTATTTCATAAATGAAGCATAAAACTCTGAGTCCCCCAAATTTTGGATACCTTTAAGCTAAGAAAAAACATTAATCATTACCCAGAAAGGTCGACAAAGAGGACCAGCAATAATACAGAATATACACGGAAATATGTCCATGATGTGGCAGAAGGTGATGCATTCAGACGTTCAAGACGATCTCTAGCCAATGCTTGAAACATCTGTACAATATGTTGATGCAATAAGCCAAGTATTTGAATGAAACTTACATATCAAAATCCAGAGTAAAAGTAGCAGTATTTTACCTTCAATGAACATAAGACAGCCAACCAGATAGACCACAAGGCAGCATGATATTTTGTTGGAGGAACAACCAGAGGAAGAAATGTTCCCTGTCCCATGTTCATTAACAAATAAAAATTTATGAAATCGTAAACTTTCCCCCATATATTTAGCATATTGCATTCATCCGTATGCGTACAATCTGATGTCTATGTGTGTGAACTATGCATGTGTAGTTATATAGGTATTACAAATGAAGAGAAATCCTCTCACAAAGTAGAAAGTTTAAATAAATAAATAAATAAAAATTAAACATTAACGAAAAAAAGAGGCATAAACTCCTCCATCTCCCGCACTGGTACATTGAGGCATACCATGATTTAACAACTTCAGAATCTTTTCTTAACTTTGCTTAAGAAACAAATATTCAATGAAAAAAAGAAATTTACATCAAGAGTTAGAGAACAAAGCCTGAAATAGAGCAGTTAGAAAAAAAAAAGCTTTAATTAATACACCTAGAGGAAGAATAATTGGTGTATATATAAGAAACACTGACGTTCATTATCAAAAGAGAAGTTCAAAAAGATGAAGATGAAGTATCCCTGCCCAAGGGGACAACAGAGAAGCTTCCCTGTCGTCAAAGATATGAGTGAAAGTATCCATGAGGAGGCATGAGGAGGCTTCCCTGTCGTCAAAGGAGGTTTCTCGTAGCCAAAGAAGATAGGGAAACCTCCGAGAAATGTAACTCAAGGATCTTATTGTGATTCAAAAGTGTCTAATACAATATAGAAAACCCACTATTTATGGAGGATTTAACAACTAACTATTTAACAAATTAAAAAACTTAACCAAAACTAATAAACTAACTCACTCCATCACTCTCCTTCAAGCCACCCTATAAATCTCCCTACTTATTATTTATCCCGTTTTCCATTGCCAACTAAAGTTGGACAGTCCATGGAGAAACTCCTCAGAAACTCTAGCCTTCATCTTGTAAATGAGATAAAGTTTTCCTCCCCTTGGACCAAGGGGGTTACATTCACTGTTTAAGGGATAGAAATCAGGCTCTTCTTGCTAAATGGATTTGGCACTACCACAAGGAAAAGTCAGCTCTATGGAGGAGACTTATTGGTGCTAAATATGGGCCCTCAGTTCTAAATGCTTATCATAGAGTAACCTCATTAAATTCTGCCAAAGGACCATGATATTCGAAGCAGCAGGGACTTGTGGTCGATCGGAACTGAATTGACCTAGGGAATGGGGCCTCTACCACCATCTTTTTGAAAGACAAACGGACTGCCAATGGTTGCTTGGCCTCTCGGTTCCCTTTCCTTCATGCTTTGTCTCTCCACAAAGAACCTGTGACGGATATTTGGAACACAAACCTTTGTTTTTGGGCCTTAAAGCTTTGTAGATTTCTCAAAGACGAGGAAGCTTTTGAATGGGTGGAATAAAATGTCCTTTCACCCTTGCATCGCTCAAGAGAACAATTGGGTGGGTTTCTGGAAATAATGCTGCATTCTCCATAAAATCTCTTCTCCTTGGTATGTCTAAGGAGAAAGGTTTACACGCCCCCTTCTTGCAAAAGCTATATGGAAGAATCATTATCCAAGGAAAACCAAATTCCTTTATTTGGGAGATGAATCATAATCAACATGTGCTTTGCTGCAGTGACATTTGCCTTATTTGGTTCCTTCTCTTCATTGGTGCTCCCTCTGTAAGGCTATTGTCGAATCCCAAAGGCACATCTTCCACACTTGTGCTTTTTCCTGGAATTTTTGGAGCAGAATTTCATCCTCCTTCAATTGGACTGGTTTTTCCTCCTTTTGAAGCAAAGCAGTTTTTTAAGTTACGTACTGCTGGGTCATCCTTTCAGAAGACAGAAGAAATTATTGCGGCCGAACATTGTGAAGGCTTTTACTTGGGCTCTTTGGAATGAAAGAAAGCAAAAAATCATTGCTGAAAAGGACCGTATCTGGAAGAATGGCTTTGACCATGTTATATTTGTTGCTCCACCTGGGTGTAAATTGTCTCCATATTTTAGTTCCCGTAGCTAGGCTTCTCTTTTAACAAATTGGAGGAGCTTTTTTGTATGGGATTATTTTCCTCTTTGGTAAATTTCATACATCAATAAAATTGATTCTCTTAAAAGAAAAAGATATTACAGGCCAAGGCATTATAAATTTTTAATGGATTTCAACCATAACTTTCTTTATAAATTTTCAATATCCACACATATGATTTGAGATTATAGACAAAACAATTCATAGGCTAACATGCAAAACTCATTGCCTTCAAACACAGCTACCGTAAATGTGCAAACAGCAATAGGCTAAAGCCAAGTGGAAGTAAGATCATCAGATGAACATCAACAAGAGGTAAACAATCTCTAATTAACTAAAACCAAAAATAATTTGTTCCCACCTCAGAGGGCCCGAAATGCTATGCAAAATAACACAGCTAAGAATTTAAAGGAGATAAAATTGGAAAATACTAACCTTGTAAATGATATAATTAACAAGACGTTCCACCAGCTTCCGACTTTCTGATGAATACAGCTCAACAAAAAATATGGTCTGCTGACAAACAAATCTATAAGCATCAAAACAAACATCTTGGGGGAGAATACAAGCAAGAATTAAAGCACTTCTTCTACTGAAGAGTCACCATCTTACCGTAGATAAAATTATGGGAAAATGAGTGAATGGTGACTTGAATTTGCATTCTAGAAATTTTTAAATTTATAAATAGTCTCAAATAACAAGTTGATTTCTTGCATGCTAACAGAAACTCCTGGTTTATTATACCCCATTAAATAATTGGCCAAAAGGCCCAAGGCCATCCCTAAATAAACAATTGGCCATAGGAAAAAAGAAAACAAGAAGAAGTTCGGTGATCCTTCCTAAACCAGACTGCAAATATTACATAGTATAGCGGCGCTGAAATTAAGAGTTCATAGCTGCTCACTTCCTATGCAACACAAAACTCCCAAAATAAATAACAAACTTACCTTGAGAAATAGCATGAGTAGAACAAACACATTAAGTGCAAAATTAGCCAGCAGTCCTACAGTGACATAGGAACTTAAGAGCAAATCAATGACACGGCCAGCATTCTCTGTCTGAAAAGGATTTTCGCCAATTATTTTCTCTGATCTCAGGTTATCTATCGATAGCTCAGTCCATAGCTGGAGACCAATAAAACTCAACACTGTACACGCCGCAGAAAATGCTATATAGCTGACACCCATTGATGTTAGTTTAAGCAACTTTTCTAAGATCAAACTCTAGGAAAATCATCACAATGGAAGCTGCATTGTTCTTTGCCACTAATACCCAGCATCATCAACAGAGCATGGAACACAACAAACTGCCTAGCTATATAATCTCAGCTTCTGAATCAATTAATTAGTTGCAACTCTCCAAGCCAAAAAACTAGTACCTGTCATAATTGACATCAGTCGAAATGATCACATATAGACATAGAATTTCTCAAAAAAAAAACCCAAGTAAGGAAACCCCTCGATTAATTTAAGTAACACAAGAGTAAGAGATATAGCCGTAAGCATACAAAGACTCACTCAATGCCATGATTATTCGATAAAGTAAAATCTCTAGAAGAAGGTGAGAATTAAAATTAATTGATCAAATAGAGTAGACTGTAAATTCAATCAGCATCACCAACAAAAGGAGGGACATCCCAGGAGGAGCAATATTGCTCAAAACATCAAACCACTATGCAACAAATTCAATCAATCTGAGAGTACATATCGTAGAAAATCGAAATCCGGTTTCAAAAACTCATAAATCATACAAAATAAGAAGGATACCGAAAGTCAAGGCAAACAATTCGACCAATTGGACAGAACTTTGAGGAATGATCAAACTGACAAAGAGAAAGAAAACAAGATTAATCAAATGAAGTAGTCGGGGAAATCAGGGACCTGATTCGATCAGATGAAGCTCGTTAGCGTCGGTGCAAGTCTCCGTAATTGTAAATCGCCAGCTTCGCATTTCTCAAAGAGAAATTTCCGATTTTTTCTCTTTTTTTTTTAATACTTATTTCTTAAGCAAAATACTTTATTTATTTTGGCGGGTGTACGTGCGTCAGATGCATCAGTTCTTCTTTCTTCTCCAATATAATTTATTTTTATGGTAAATTTAATATAATTTATTTTTTAATTATAAAGATTTCCATTTTTTAATTACCATATAATAATTATTTTAGAGATTTTTTTTTTATTCTTCTAAAAGGAAATATGTGTAATATGTGTATAATGTTAGCAGAAAATTATTCGATTTTAGCCACGCACAAAAATTATAATATTTAATAACTTCTAATTTAATTATTTTATTTCATTTTATATGACTTTAAGTTTGGATAATTCTTACAGCTTTTCCATTTACAATTAAATATGTCTTTTTATGATTTATAATAAACTTTTATTTTAAGGGAATGTTTCAAAAACAATATTTTTATAATACCATCCTTCTTAAAAAAATTTAAATTTTGTACGAATATTACTTGATTTATTTGAGATTATTTACATTTATATTTAACAGAATTTTAAAATTTTCGAATATCTATGAATTTTAATAATTAAAAGTTTACGGACTAAATTTTTAATTTTTAAAATTTAAAGACTAAATAGACAAAATTTCAAAACTTGAATTAAATCCAGATTTATAAACTTAATTTGAAAATATATAAATAAAAAACATTTATTGCCAACTATTAAATTTTAAATTTAATTTTGGATGAAAATGAATACAAATATTAAGTTTTAAAATGTTTATTTTATTTATGGGGTCGGGTTCTATGGGGACCTATCCCAAATAGAGAGGGGATTCCCGTTTAGATAGAAAATGGGGAAGGAGTGGAAAATGTTATAAATGGAGCTAGGGATAGGATTATATGCTCTGTCTCCGTCCAATTCCCCACTCTGCATAATATAAATATATTTTCTGTGCATATATATATATATACGTGTTTTTTTTTTATTATATTAAAAGAAATAAATTAGTTTATTTCAATACTTTAATTATAATATTTAAACTAAAAATTATGTCTTAATTTTTTTTGTTTAATTATTAAAGACGATGTTATATTTTAATTTTAATTTTAATTTTTTGAAATTAGGTTAATAAGAACCTTACGACGATATATTTAATTTGATCTCGTCTAAAATAAACGAAAAATTTACCAGAAATAAAAATGAAATAGGTGGTGGGTCTCTATCGTGGTTCTAGTAAATTAATTTAAAAAAATAAAAATTAAACATAACTTTTTCAGGAAATTAAAAATAATATGACCTGTTGTTTGAATTTGGTTCCTTTTCTTTTATATTAAAAATTATTTATACTTCTATAAAATTTTAAATTATTGTTATCGTTTATTAAACTTTCATTGAAAAATCAATGTATCCTTAACTCATCCGACTTTTTTTAAACAAATAATAATAATAATAATAATAATAAACTATTTAATAACAAAAATAAAAAATAAAAATTTCAAGAATTTATTTAGGACGGTCAACTTATTGTTTAGCAGAGTAAAATTCTAGTCGTATTTTCAATACAAGAGTGTGTGTATGTGTGATACCTCAACATGATAAGGTTCGATTAGAATCTTGAGCCCTATAAAGTTGACGAAAAAGTTATATATATTAATATATATATATATGTGTGTGTGTATGTATATGTGTGATATCTCCACATGACAAGGTATGATTAGAATCTCGCGCCCCGTAAAATTGACGAGAAAGTTGGAAATTCTCCCATTCACATTACTTTTGTTCTACCCAAATTATCTGATGGTTCAAAACTCGAAAACAATATTTATTACGGTATTGTTGCGCTAAACACAAAAGGCTCTAACGAGCAAGAAACATGGACATATTGTAAAACGTACTAGCTTTACAACATGATCTTCTTATATGTCAATTACACATTGTTCAATAATACATTAATAACTTCATCAAAGTCGGGAATATTTTTCCACCACAATTTGCTTACGTCACTTGTTCTTTACGGGCCCCGATTCACTGTTCATGCACACACATGTTATAAGGAGATTCACACATTCTTTCGAGAAAAAGCTAGCTTCCACTAAAAGCTGGTTCGAATACATGTTCTTTTCAAAATAAAGCTGGTCAAAATAAAGTAGATATTCTCTCATTTTTATATAACAATAAAATATTAAATTGTGTTTGCTAGTAGATATGGTCTATTTTGGCCTTATTAGAAAAAATTTTATACCTAAGGAATGTTTCGTTCTTCTCTCGATTTTATTTTTTTGTTCTAGAAAGACGTAAATGTAATTCAAATGAGATTATAATTCAATATAGGAACAAATTAAAATTTAAATGAAGAATTTCTTGAAAAGCTAGCCTAAGGACTAGGTATGGATCAAGCTGGTCCTGCAAGAGAATCGCAGCCGTTCAAATCCTCCAGCACAAAGATTCAAAAGGTGGCGATTTTGTGGAATCCTTTGCTTTTTATTGAATCCTCCAACCGATCTTTCTTTATTTTTATTATTGTTCGTTCCCTCGTTCATGGAAAATATCATATTCACTCCTTTGAGACCTAGCGTCCTCTTTGATACAACGCCCGATATATAACTATAATACCATTTGTAACAGCCAAATCCCACTGCTAGCATATATTGTCCGGTTTGACCAGTTATATATCACCATCAGTCTCATAGTTCTATAAACATGTCTTCTAAAGAGAAGGGAACAAAACATTCCTCCCTAATAGACGAGTTCCAAAAACATTGAAGGAAAGCCCAAAGATGACAATATCCAGTACCCATGGGTTTAGGTTGTTACAACTAGTAACAGAATCAGACATCGAGCAATATATCAGCAAGAATGTTAGGCGCTCAAAGGGAGTGGATTGTGAGATCTCACATCGGTTGGAGAGGAGAATGCGAAACATTCCTTATATAAGTGTGGAAAACTCCCCCTAGTAGACGCGTTGAAAACCGTGTAGCTGATGACTATACATAATAGGCCAAAACGGACAATATTTGCTAGCCGTAGACAGTAACGCAACAAATAATCCCTGCTACTTGCAAGATTCTTGGTTAGTTTTGAATCTTTAAAGAAAGAATCCTCTTTGAACGATCCATCATTTTCAACTTTCTCTTATTTATATATATATATATATACTCCAAACACAAAGCATTAGAGCGCTAGCTGCATTGAGGCCCATCTCAAGCCAAGCCACCACCGCTACAACAAAGGGGATTGATATACAAGTTATTATTTGGGATGGAAAGGGTGAAGAGACTAGCAGCTGAGCATGAGGTGCTGATAATAAGCAAGACTTCATGCTGCCTTTGTTATGCAGTGAATGTGCTTCTAAGGGAGCTTGGAGTTAGCCCCTTGGTGTACGAGCTGGACCAGGACCCTGATGCCCGGGACATGGAGAAGGCTCTTGTAAGGCTACAAGGCTGCCATACGCCCCCCGTCCCCGCCGTCTTCATCGCTGGGGACCTCGTCGGCTCGACCAACGAAGTCATGTCGCTGCACCTCAGCGGAGAGCTGAATCGAATGTTGAAGCCCTTCAAGGTGGTTCAAGAGAACTAGAGCTTGTGACATGATGATCATATGGAACAACTAACTCAACCTTGGATTCTCCAAAACTTAGTAGCTTTCTATGTTATTATGTCGTGTGTGTAATGAATAAAACTAAGTGTATGTCAACTAGTCTCAATGTTGATTTGGGCTTTATAACATAGACCTTTTCTTTTCCATATTTTTAATTCTTATTTCTCGCTCTATTTCTAGATTTTTGTTCTTGTTCATTGTTATATTGTTATTTTTATCGGTTTATCGATCTATATGTAAAATATTCTAAGATCTATTGAAACTCTCCTGAAAAAAGAAAAAAAAAATAGTGATTATCTTGATGTAACTCGTACAAAATAGTGAAATCATGTCCAAAGTAAAGGAACTTGTAACCGCTCAATCTCACCGTTAGCAGATATTGTCCGTTTTGATCCGTTATATATTGTTGTCAACCTCACAGATTTAAACCGAGTCTATTTGGGTGGGAGAGATTTCCATCTTTTTGTAAGAAATGGTTTGTTCCACTTTCCAACCAACGTGGGATCTCACAATCCAAATAGGCAATAATTCTCAGCACAACGATCCAAGCCTTTGTTGAAGTAATAAACCAAAGTAATTAATTATGTAAAATTTGTATCAACTAAGAGATAAGACTAATTAGATTACCTGATCGTGATCGAAGATCTAGAAACAAGATTTGGAAACCTTGTTCTAAATTGAATCATTTCACAATGATCAAGGCAATTGAATGACAATTCTACCACAGGAATGCTTCAAACTTAGAAATGGCAAATATGATGATCGGATTTCTGAGAAAAAAACTTCTCCATTTGAGATCTGAATTACATTCATCTACGAATCTCATTTTTACATAACATATTGTGGGTATTCATAATCTCCTGACAAGAGACGTTTTGTGACCGATATTTAATCCCGATCCCCTTTCATCTCCACAAACGAAGTCAAATTGACCTATTTGACCATTACATAATTTATGAAATTAAAAATAATATTTTCTAACAAATGTTGACGTGGTTTCTTAGAGAAAACTTCTCCGAGATCTGAATTACATTTATCTACGAATCTCATTTTTACATAACATAGTGTGGGTATTCATAATCAATCCCGATCCCCTCTCATCTCCACAAACGAAGTCAAATTGACCTATTTAACCATTACATAATTTATGAAATTAAAAATAATATTTTTTAACAAATGTTGATGAGGTTGAGTAATTACCTAGACACCTGTTGTTGACATTTTTTAATCTTTCTGTCAATACATCTATTTATCAAACGGAGGCGGCCAGTATCCTGTACAATTAGTGTTTGACTCTGATACCGTACGATTAGTGTTTGACTCTGATACCATTTATAACAACTTAAGGCGACCAGTATCCTGTACAATTAGTGTTTGACTCTGATACCATTTATAACAACCTAAGGCGGCCAGTATCCTGTACAATTAGTGTTTGACTCTCATACCGTTTATAACAACCTAATGTCACTTACACTAGTCAAATGAAAACTAAATTTAAATTAGAAATATCAAAACTTTAAAATTTTAATTTAAAGATAAAATAGAAAATAAGGCTTATATATATATATATATATATATATATATATATTATCCAATAAATTTTAAGATTTTTTTGAAAGTAAAAAAATTAAAATTTTAATATATTACAAGAGCTGCGCTCGGGTACGGCCAATCCCACGATGGCAATTCGAATCTTCCATCGTCTGTGGGAACGGCGTCGGCCGTAGATGCCATTTCCCCTCTCATTCAGCAGAGTCCTCCGAGAAGCGATCGAAATGGACGAAGCCAAGGCGACGGCAATGGCTGCTCAACACCAACAACAGCTGCTACTGCAACAGCACAAACAGCAACAGCAACAGCAGCAGCAACAAACTCAGCAGCACCAGCAATTTCTTCTTCTTCAACAATTGCAGAAACAGCAGCAGGCTCAGCAGCAGGCTGCCGCTATCTCTCGCTTTCCTTCCAATATCGACGCCCATTTGCGCCCACCGGGTCTTCATCTCCGCCCTGGATCCATTAATCTCCATCAAAACCTTAACCCTAATCCAGCCGCGTCTGTTCCTAATTTGCAGTCTAACCCTAGTCCCACTCAACCACCGTCACAACAATTGCAGCAGCAGAAACAGCAGCAACAGCAACAACAGCAACAACACCAGCTGCAACAGAGGGCAATGCGAACCGGAAACCAGGCGGAACTCCAGATGGCTTATCAGGACGCTTGGCGTGTGTGCCATCCTGACATTAAGCGCCCTTTTGGTTCCCTTGAAGATGCCTGCGAGAGGTTCGTCATTTTGAAATGCGTGTTTTTAGTGCAGTTTTTTTTGTGTATGAAGTTCCTAAATCATATAATTATGTTTTGAAGACTATTGCTAGCGAGGATTTTGCTTTTATTTGGAATAACAAATTTTCACTGGGTAATTTCTTGCATTTATCATTCTTTTAAACTCTGTTCCGATCATTAGTTTAGGACCATGGATTATGGCGTGTGCTTAAGGAGCTTAATGGATTAAGAAGACACCTGTAGAAAAGGAAACTAGTAGTATGTGTGTTGAGATTACTAAGCACACTGCATAAAAATTTGGCTCCCCTTGAATATGATGCATCTGGTGCAGTAGATCTAGATTCTATTCTTGCAATTATGAATTGTGTTATGCAAATTCTAATTATTGCTTGGATTGGTGACTGACTAACTTTTGTTTCTCGACACGAAAAGGGCACGCAGAAAAAGCCCACCAATGGAAGTCGAACGTTAGCTATGCAAAAAAGGCTTCCAGTTCCAAACAACAAAACCTAACAGAGAATTACAATATTCCTTGGAAACCGAGGCCCAAGTAGAGGCATTAAGCCTAATGAGAAACCACACCTCCTCCTGATCATCCTGTGAATCATGGTGTTCCAGGGAGATTGTAGGCGAAGTTACAATGAATTTTTATCCAAATTCTGTTCTTATAGCAATTCTAATAGACTGGAACTATTTCCTCCCTTGATTTCTTAATCTACTTTGGGCCTCAATATAATATTTTCATACTGCGTATGGCCTCCCTTTCTACGGATTTCTCTAAGACAAATCAGGAGGCAAGAGCAAAACTTCTGTATTGAGGAAAGTTCACAATCTCCGCATTTCTGTTAACATTGACAAGGTTAATGTGGTTTCTTCTCAATGAGTTTATGTTTTCAAATGAGAATCCTTAGCTGGGACATTAGGAGTTTGCAGGCCACGTACAGTTCGGGCTCTCTGTTTGGTAAATTTTTCAAGCAATAAAAGTTTAGTAATTTGGGTATCTTCTTCCTAACTTCATTTGGGGCTTCCACAAGATTGGCTGGCCATCTTTTAATTTCCTCGGGTTCTCCGGTGATATTATTATAATGGGGATTTATCCATGATCCATGATCCTTGATGGAGGTGCTCTCTCTCTCTTTCTTAATCTGAGACTTCTCGTTTTATTCATTTATATTTAATTATTATTATCATCATTTTTCATTTTTTTGTGCCTGTGGCTGTTCCTCAAGACACTAAAGACTTAGGAGTTGAATTTGAAAGTTCAGTGGGCTTTAGTGAGGAGACATGGATACCGGTTGGTGATTTCATTGTCCTGCGGCGGTCTTTTGGGAAATCCTTACTGACCATGTTACTTGTATCATGAAGCCCTTCTATAGGATTATAGATCTCCTTTAATGGATGTCCTTGATGCTTTGGAAAGTGCAAGTTCAAATGCTTGTGGAGGGGGATGAAAATACTCCCTTTTTTCAGGATTGATGCTGCAAAAAGTGAGGGAAAACTGAAGAATCCATGTTAACTCTTTGGACTATCTGGGCGGAGAAAATGGAAGGTCTTTCAAAATTTAGGAAGATCCTTGAGGGAGTTTGTTTTAATAGTGTTTCTTCTACTGGGTTCTCTCCCAAGATTCTCTTTGTTCCAAATTATAGCATTTCTTTATTTGTTATACCCTATTGGATTTTCTTTTAGTGCCGTCCCCTCTCGTGGCTTTGTTAGTCATTTTGTATGTTTCATTTTACCAATGTAGTAGTTTCTTATCTCTCTTTTGTAGAGTCAAGGATACATTGATAGTTACAATCCCCATACTACCTATAATTCTAAAAGTTCATTGATCGTTATAATGATACATAGGCGAGATCGATCCCTTTAAAATTTAAAGTAGTTACATATGGTCTTCGCCTATTCCTTCTATTACTTGGTTGTTTGTATGAGTGTGAAAGAGCACTGGATAACTTGGAAGTGTTGGGAGTAGCATGCTTTATAGCATCTATTCCTCCATATTCTTATCACAATTTGATGATTCATTGATGCATTATGCAAAAAATTTGTACAGGCTGTTGCCATATCATGTGGTGGCTGACTATGAGGCCGAAGAAGATGATAGAATCCTCGACTCTGATCCAACTGGCCAAATGCTGTCACGCTCTCAGCAGTGGGATCATAACATCTCGGCCAAAATTTCTGAATTCATTGCCACTTTTGAGAAGCAGGTGTTGGCCTTTAACATCATAACTCGCAAAAGGACACTGGGGGAGTTCCGTTCAGAAGAGAGATTGATGTTTGAACAAGCCCTTATGCAAGAGGAGAAACGGAACCTCTTGGAACTAAAAGCTGAGATTGAATTGAGAGGGAAGGCTGGAAGAGAGGCTCATGATGCCAAAATGCGGATGGCAGCAATGATGCAGACGACTGACCTAACGAGGGCTGAACCACAGGCTAACGAAATGATGGTTCGTGGTCCCTTGAGAACAGGTGCGCATGTTGGGTCCCAAAGCAGCGATGTTCGAGTTGGCCATAGTGTTGGGGAGCAGGAGCAAGTTCATCCAAATGAAATGGTCAATGGATGGGGAAACAACAACACACAGGGAGATGATAAAGAAGCATCAGAGGATCTATTAAATGATGAGGAGGCTGAGAATGGCGATACAGGCATGCATGATAGTTGGCGCGAAGTCGGGGAATTTGACCTGAACACGAGATGAAATCTTGGTTTAACAGCTTAACAATGGAGTTTAAGTGAAGTAGAGCTGTTTTCTCCAATCATCGAGGTTCGTTTAAGATGAGATGTGCTTGTGTATTTGACGAAACATGCTTGCATATGAGACGAAAGCCGAATTACCAGTCGAGGATGATGGGTACGTTG